GTTCAGCAAAAGTAAGTATACGAGTATTTGCGTTCTTTCGAAACATTTGCAGTTCTAGGAAGTGATTTTATACTTAAAAATCACCAGGAGTAATTTCATTGGTTTTTCATAATTTATAAACAGATGACTTTGATCGGCTGTTTTTATTGCTGGCAAATTGCTGCTGGCAAAAATTTTTCCAGCAGAAACTAGCAGCTTTTCATCTAAATTAAATGTCAGTTTGATCTTTCAATTTCCCCTACTTTGCTGCGTTTTTGTGTGCACGAACAGCAAAACCTGATAGTTTTTGATAGTTATCAAAAGCTATCAATACGCGAATACCTATAATTTGCCTGGTTGATGGAAAAATCCAAACTTAGACAGTTCATATCTCCGAAGAAAAAAATAATAAAAATAAATCCTGGGATACGTGCCAACTTATTTTATGGTGGCGGGTAACAAGATCAACGGAAATGAGGTCAATTGACACTGTTTCGCATACTGGTGCGACATAGAGTAAATTGACATTGAAATAATTGTTTTTAAATTAGCACATTTTGAACGAATTCGGAATGAAAAGAAAACATCTTGTAAAAGGAAACAATTATAGAAAATGAATTTTCTTACAGTGTATTCATGTTGCCGCCAACAATTGGTAGATGGCACATTCAAATCAGTGCCAAAATGCGGGTATAAACAATTCTTGATTATTAGTTACATTGGATCACAAATCGAATTTTGATTTTGTTCTCCAGACGCCACTATCCAATTTGTATGTGGAATCGCTCGCTGATTCCGAAAATCGAGTTAAATTTTTTTGTATGGATACTTTTTCGAGATATTTTCATTTTACCGTTATTCAGCTTAAAAACAAAGAGTGGTTCCACTTAGTCACGTATATCTTACGAACCAATGAATAATCGAGATACGGCAAATGAAAGCAAATAAAAGTTTCCATACATTACTTTTCGATAGCCCTGATAGTTTCTGAGAAATTAGTTAATCATTCCAGATTTTTTGTTTTTTTGATGAAAAAATGGAAAAAAATCAAACTTTAACAGGAAAAAAATTAAAAAAATGACAGTGTCTGTGTAAATGTTTTGCACTCGTGTTAAAGCCTGTTTCCTTAGAAAAAAATAAATGAAGAAAGTCGATGGATAAATAAAAAAGTAATGATTGGTCAAATGAAAATGCGCAAGTAATTTTTGTATGAAGTATGAGCAGAAAAAAGTGTTACTAATACGCCCCGTACACCTGAGTAGGTAGAGTGTTTGCATCGAAAGCAAGAGGTGTCAGAAATGGTTAATTAATTTCTCAGAAGCTATCAGGGCTATTGAAAAGAGATGTATATACGGTTTATTGAGAATTTTATTAGATTTCATTTCCCTTATCTCGTATTGCGATTATTCAATTAGTTCGTAAGATATACGTGAATTGCAAATATCTCGAAAAGTTATCCATAAAAAAAAAAAATATGTCGATTTTCAGAATCCCCGAGCAATTCTCAATAGTATAGTGGCATCCATAGAACGTTTTTGATGTAAACCAGTGTTATTGGAACCGAGATAATGTAAATTGATTGATTGGTTATCACCAGGGCCGAAAAGTTCAAGCTTTTGCTTGAAATTACTTATTTTGCTTATTCAGGGTTTCCAAGCTTAATTTTAACGATCATGATTATTTTGCTTATTTCAATGTATAAAGCTAAGTACAGACCTTTAAGTAAATTGTCAAGAAATAAATTGCTATTATTTCGAGTGTGTGAACAGTAGTGTCCAAGGAGTTTTGATATCTGATATTTTATAACCTGCTGTCTCACTTTTTCTTTAGAAATAAGGAATGGGCATATATTTTTGTTGAAAACAAGGATGCCTTGAACGCTTCACAAACAAACTCTAGCAAACCATAGTATAAAGTAGAAAATTTCTTAAGAACTTCGTACTGCTTAAGAGAATTTGGCTCAATAAATTTTTCATGACCATTTCTTGGGCTTTTTTATTCGTCGAACTTAAGAAATGTTTACAAATAATAACATAAGAACAGATTTGGTTCTTATTAACCCGTAACTCAATTGCATTTCTGCTTGGATACAAAAATTTAAAACCAATGGTTCGCCTCTACGGGAAGGCATTGGTGTTATTGAAGAGATTTACATAATTTATCTCAAATGCAGAATAACGAATATTTAAAAAAAATTTAAACGACCAACGCAGATCTCCATCAGGGATTGGCATTGGTTGAACGTCAACTGTTTCATACTCAATCAATACTGCTGCTTTGTATGACTGAGCAGCGGCGATACAAATATCGATACCTAAACGAAATTAGAGGATGACTGAACACCAGCGCATAGCGCAAATACAGCCACCACAAGTGAACGATGCTTATAACAGCTCATACTGATATTGACTTCGGCAAACCTGTACTCTGAATGATCGTGCACGAAACTAGCAAACGCGGCAGTTGAACGGTTCCGAAAGCATGAGAGCTCATCATTTGTTGCAGAAGTTGACTTGTTGCTGAAAGCCATTTGACTTGTTGCTGAAAATCATCTGACTTGTTGCTGAAAGCCATTTCACTTATTGCTGAAATCACGACGAATGTGGTAAAGGGTAATTTATCGTCTCGTATGCATGTATGTATGTATTTATAGCGCGTCTACCATTCAATTGCTTTGCTCACTGCTGGCTAGTTGTGAGGAATGTGCATACGTACGTATGTATGTATGTACATATCAATGCTTCATTTCAAACAAGCAAGTGTCGTTGAATTGTTTTTGAACTACAGTATTTATCATCCCTTCGGCAACACGTCAAACGCGCCTTCAGCAACAAACCAAAAGCGGCGGTTTAACTTCTGCAACAAATCAAGTTAGCTAACTGCGGCATCTTGCCTTCGCCAGTCTTTCACATAAGCTCTCATGCTTTCGGCAACCGGCCAAATGCAGTATCGTGCTTTTGGCAGTCGATCAAATACGGCGGTTGCTGGTTTCGTGCACGATCATTCGGAGTACAGGTTTGCCGAAGTCAATATCAGTATGAGCTGTTATAAGTATCGTTCACTTGTGGTGGCTGTATTTGCAAGACAGCACGCTTTGCGCTGGTGTTCGTTCATCCCCCGTTTTTAACGTGAGTAGGCTTAAAGACACAAAAACAGCACCCTTTTCCAATGTCTGATCTCCATTAGGCGTGTTCTTTTTTACACGCATATATTAGTGTTAAATGTGCGAAAAAACGATAGTTTCGATAGTATCGATAGCTTTAGGTTAAAATAAAGCATTTTTAAAACAATGTTGTAGTTATACACGAAATCTTTAGAACCCAAAAATTTAAGATAATTTGGCATTTCATTTTAATTCGATATATAATTATTAAATAAACTTTTATTTAGAAGGAGCCCAATTTGGAATAAAATAATAAATTAATTAATTAATGGCAAAAACTACCATAAAACATAATTTGATATACATACGTAGATAAACATATATGTATAATATACATACATTTAATTTACAGTTATTGATATTATTTTATAATTTTAATGAGCTACCAAATTACACGGCACCTAAATGAGATGCAAAACCATTTGTATCAGAATGTGAATACGGCTGATTTGCTTTTAATCGAAGTATGGTTTAAATAAAATCTTATTCATATTTGTATCTTTTAATCTATTTCTTCTCTCACTGTGTATTTGACCAGCCTTGTAAAGTATTCGCTCAGATGGCATTGATGTTGCAGGAATACATAAAACGTATCAGCAACTTTTTTCAAGCTATTAGATGAAAAAGCCCAATATACTAGATGACATTGGTCTTTATCAATAACTGGTTTTTTTATCTATTGCCTAATGTCATTGATTGGCCCGCTTGAAGGAGAATATCACGGCTGACGGCAAAAAAGTAATGAGTCTACTGTCAAACTCTTAAAAGAGCATGCCGAGATAGTATTTTTACTGGTGTCTTGTCTTGGTTTTTAGTAAGTAATTCGCTTGCAATCATCGAACTGTATTCTTCTTGTAGTAAGCTTACAGCTATATCTGCGTCGTATTGCGATTTGAACCCCCTTTTATAAAGAGGATTTCCCGAATTCACGGACGTTTACGTTATTTCAAAAATAAAATAAAAGTGAAAGCAAGCTTGTTGAAGAGTTACCAATATGTAAAAAAAAAATTGTTTTTTATTTATGAAAAGTACCGAAAATTTCTTCTTCGTAGCAATTGATAGTTTTAACGATTGTTTTTTTAACTATCGATAGACTAATAGTGCCGGAGCAATCGATACAATCGATAGATTATCGATGTTTAGCCAACACTAGCATATCGTCGCTGCGCCAACAAAAACGGTTACATGATTTTTGTAAATTTTTTTTTATTGCATATTTTATTAACTATTGCCCACATTACTGCATTTGCCATTCTCTTATATATCTTTTATTTTAGAACTGACCAAAACAGCTATGTGCCCGCAGTACTAGAAATACTCTGAAAAAAAACGGGTATACGCTTACTTGCTTATAACTGTTTTTGATCGCAGGCGAATCTGATGAGAGTGCTTTGATTTCGATGTAAATAAAATTATAGTTTAAAAAACTAAAACCTCCCTATTATAATTGCCATTCGTACTGTCATCAGGTATGTAACTTGAGAATAGAAATCGCTGCATCTTTTAGGCGCAACAATATTACATAGTTACATCCCGAGTTAATAAAAGGAAGGTAAAAATAATTATAAACCAACTAAATACATACATATGTACATATTAAACATCTGCACAAGCTGACTCGATTGTCTTTGCACACAGTGTGACACATTACAACTGTCGATGTTTGCCTTAATTCGGTTTCGTACACGGTATTGGTCCACTCAACAGCAAGTGGGTTTAAAGGTTGAAATACAATGAGGTTCGCCGTTCTCGTTTTGGGCATGGGCTCACTGTCTTGTACATATTTCAATTATTTTACGAATGAAGAGAGAGGCAATACTTACGACAACACAAAATGCTAAAAATAGCACAAATGATTCGAATGTCTTGCTCGGTCCGTTTGCTTTGCTTTGCGTTGTGTTCATTCGTTGATGTGATACTAAAAATATAAGACGCCGCAATGGAAGGAGACGTAAGTTTATTTACTTCGTAAAAATTGTTAAATATAACACTGAATTGAATAAACTGTTGTTTTAATTTTAATTTCTTTATTAAGTTTATTTTGTATTTTTCATAGTGCTTTTGTAATGGTCCAGGAGTGCTGAGCGATTCTCAATCAAATACTTTTTCGTTTTTTTTTTTATACAACAAGTACAATTTACAAAACCTGGCGTTGATTTTTTGAAATTCTGTCTCCCGCGTTTTATTTTAAAAGCAATTCCTGATTATATGGAAAGTGCAAAACTTCGTCGCCAAAAATTAATTCTTAGACATCCACGCGATTTTTTAGACGGTAGAAACTAAAATTTCAGATTAAAAAGTTGAAATTTTGATGGAAATTTTGTATAAAGTTTGAAACTGTGATTGATATGTTTTTGGGTAAAGCTTGGACGATGTTTTTATAGAAAAGTATCAAAAAAAAATTATCTCGAAAAATATTACGAATATTTAAAAAGATCAACACGTGGTCATTTGTTTTAGTCACTGTATATACATATGCATGTACTTATATAAGTGCATAGTTATTTACCGAACAGTAGCAAAGAATGAGCAAAAATTTTGCAGCAATAATGAAGTAATAAAAAAGCGTTGGTTTTACTACAACCTTGCAAAGTCGAAAAAAATTTACTTGTGAGCCTTTTTAGCCTGAAGTTGGTGTGTGTATTGCAATCAGAGAAGCGCAGCGAGTATGATCAAACTGAATATATCCCACTCACCATCCATAATTTGTTCTACTTATATGCATTCATATGTACTGAAATGCCCCCGAACGTCATATCCACCCTTAAACAAGAGGTATCTATCATACTTAGTGTGACCAACTGTACGTAAATGACACGTACAGTACGTAAATTTGTAGCCATGTACTGTGTACCGAAGCTAACCACAAAATCACGAAAATGTACGTAAATTGAATCGAAGAAATATTGTTGTACGTAAATTTTATCGATAGGAGCGCCCAACATACATACGTACATGCAAATTTTGACTAATAAAAACTAAAAATATTATAATGAATCAGTTGATGGAAAGTGTAAACACCTCATTAAAAAAATCGTCAAAATGACGATAAAATCCCCAACACTGGCAACGCTGTCTGCTGAATACTCTATTTGTGTTTTTCTTGTGTCCGTTAAGTGTCATTTGACTTTTTGTCGTTTTGAGGCATAAGTGCGGTATAGCGGCCGTTGAGGTAAAACAAAAATTAAAAGTGGGCGTATTGAACGCGTATTTTCTTTGATCAATCAGATTTGGAGCGATGAGAAATCACAACTGAAAATCGAGACATTGCGAGATCTTTTGTTTGTTCGGTACAACATTAAAATGACTTGTACGGAATTTTTCGAATGCGTAAAGAAGCAGCCTCAAATGCTGAAAGAAATTGCATCAGATGGAAAATGCGCGTTCAGGAAAACTACTCAAGATCAATGAATTGACACACAGGCCGACACTTTTGTAATTTAGCAGCAATTGCATTATTTCAGCTTTGAATGTATGTATGTACCTAAATATTTCTCAATTCGCAAATAAATATGCTGAAGTTTGTACGTCAAAAATGTGTTTGGATATCGACTAATAAACAAACTTTTCTTTAAAATTTTTTGTTGCTACAATCTTTTGTGTACGTAAATGAGTCTTTTGAAAAGTGGTCACACTAATCATACTCATATCATAATCATACTCCTTGGCGTGATGTGCAAAGAGCTGAGGGAAATAAGTATGATTTAAGAGTGCGCATGTACATACATGCGCACATTAATAAACTTAAAGAGGAAAAAAATACAAAATAAGAAGATGTTTCTTTTTACAACGCTTTTATCAACTTGCAATGTTGTGTTCCAGAAACTTTCAATGTTGTGGATCCAGAAACTTTCAATGTTGTGTTCCGACACCAAAGCAAAGCTTTGAAAAGCTCCTATAAAAATGCATAGTGAATAGGGCGAGGTAGATGACATCTAGATGTCGCCCTATGTACTACGTTTGCTACACCGGAAATAGACGACACGTCATTTCTTTAAATAAAATTAGTTTGACTATTGTCAACTAAATCGAATGCTTTGTAAGTGAAGTGACTTGTGGACCACTTGAGGTATAGGTGGACCAGTTGGTAACCACTTTGGGGCCAGTTGGTAACTAGTTCGTGGGACCAGTTGGTATCCAGTCGGGGACCAGTCCGGGAACCAGTTGGGAACCAGTTTGGGACTAGTCCGAAACTACTTACCTTCGGCCCAGTTGGGGTCCAGTTGGTCTTTTTAAGCTCCTGTGGCCGTTTTAAGTGTAATTCTTGGGCTCCTGCACTGCCGCTCGGGGTTTCTGCCTTCTACGGTGGTAATTTTGGGCCGGGTTGCCTGTTTTGGCGGATTGTTGTGCTGTGTGCCACGTATTACGTGTACCGGGTACCACTTTCTCGAGCGAATTGCTCTGGGGAACCTGTTGTGTGAGTTGCTGGCTTTTTGGCTAGACTTTGGGAAGGTTTATACACGCATATCGGCGGAAATAGACGACACGCCATTTCTTTAAATAAAATTAATTGGTGCTCGTTTGTATATACATACATATGTAAATGCATGTGTGTGCACCTTTCTATTAATATCGTTGAATTATTTTAATATCTATTGCAAAATTTTATTCAGACAGGACTAAAAAGTAGAAAATAAATAATATAAAAAAAACTTTTTAATATACAACGCTTTTATAAATGGACTAAAAAGTAGAAAATAATACTTCTCAGTCCCACAGAATTTGTTTCGATAACTTTTGATTTTGAAATTTTAGCAAAAGTCATTATAAACAATCTATGAAATTGAAAATGAAAAGCGTGGGGCGCATGTAATACACTTGAATTGATATGAAAAGTAATATATGAATGTATGTATGTGGGAATATGAATAACGACCGCTTAAAATCGATTTCAAAGTTCTACTTTCGCTGTAGAAATTTTAGGTCTACGTTATGTAGTTTGACTATTGTCAATTAAATCGAATGCTTTGTATTGCATGCGCTCCACGTTTTTCATTTTCAATTTCATAGATTGTTTATAATGACTTTTGCTAAAATTTCAAAATCAAAAGTTATCAAAACAAATTCTATGGGACTGAGAAGTATTATTTTCTACTTTTTAGTCCATTTATAAAAGCGTTGTATATTAAAAAGTTTTTTTTATATTATTTATTTAAACTTATTTTGGGGCGCTGGACACGAAAATAACATTTAAAAAATGTCCAAAGATTCATCTTGGAAATATTTACGAAATATGTTTTTGGGTAACTTTTCAGTTATCGCCAGAAATCACTGAAAATGTGAACTCAAGTTTTTCAAAAAAGTGTACAAAGGAAAAAAAAGAAATAAATTGTGTTTTTAACTTCATGTTTTTTATTTATTTTTTCCATTTAAATTATGTTAAAGAAATTAATGAAATATATATATTAGAGTCCAGCGCAAGTGTATTTGCCGCATTTCGTTCAATAAGTACTCCTTGCATTGTACTCTACTCCCAACACATTGTTACTATTTTACCGCATACATACCCTACTTGGCGTTGAGAGAGTAAATACTTGACGTACTTGCTATTACTCCACCAAAGTACGTACTCTACTTTCTCTCATCGCCTACGCGAGATATTTGCTGCTGCCAAAAGGGAGTAGCAAATCTACTCTCCGTATACTTGTAGTACGGTAAGTACTTGCGTATAAAATTTCAATTATGGTTGTTAGCCTACTAGTTGATATCGTTTGCGGCGCTGGTCAGTGAAATTGAAAGAGTAAAAATAGAATATGGAATTTGACGATGTAAGGAAATGTTTACGGCCTTATTTATAAAAAATAACGTAGATTTAGACAGTTGTTTAATGTGACATTTTCATAAAACTTTTGTATTCAAGCAGCTTTTTAAATCTATGTATGTATGTACTTAAATTTTTATGAAAGTATTATTTCTCGTTTCTAATTTTCTATAAAACTATTTGCAGTCATTAACCAACAAACAAGTTGTCGACAACAATAACTTAAGCAATGCTGCTATACGAAATAAAATTATTAGTGGCAAATCAAAATTTTGAAGTGCCGATTTTCACATTCGATAGTTGGACATGGTAGCGACGAGATGTACGAGCATTTTCTTCTTAAGAGCTGCATACTGATTTAAGAAATTTGTTATAGAAGCAAATTTATTTCCTATTTATTGTCCATAATTTTATATGAATTTTTAGTTTTTCTTGAGAGCCTTTACAAATAAAAAAAATTTCGGAATATGTACATATGTACATACATACGCAGCCATATAACTTGATTTCAAGAGAAACGAATTTTCATTGGGCACGTTCAGAAGGCGCAACAGCTCAGTAACTGGTGCGATTGCACCTTCTGAACGCGTTGTTGCGTACTTCTGATCAACTGAATAGTTGCGTGTTAGATGATCGTAATATTTTTCTGATCATTTGAGAGTTGAATTTGACAGCAAATGTATGAAGTCGTTCAGAAGACGCATAACGATCACTGATTTTTTTTTAGCAACGGTTGCGCTCAACTGCTGCGCCTTCTGAACCTACCCATAGATAACTTTTTTTATACCTTTCATGAGCATGAAATGGTATTATAACTTTGGTCCGATGTTTGTAAGTACCAGAACAAAAAGAGATAGACCCATTAAAATGTATACTTATATGATCAGAACGTCGAGCTGAGTTGATTTAGCCATGTCCGTCTGTCCGTCTGTCCGTCTGTCTGTCTGTTTGTATGCAATCTAGTCTCTCAGTTTTCGAGATATCCGTATCAAATTTGGTAGGTGGGTGTATTTTTATAATGCATTAATCATTTGTCGGAACCGAAAGAATCGGACCACTATAACATATAGCTCCCATACAACTGATTGTTCAGATATGAGATTTTTCGTTATAACTTCTCCATTTATGCAGCTACGAACATGAAATTTTGCAGTACT